GTTTTGTACTTCTAATAAGTGACCGTTGTTTTGTTTTGATTTCTCACCTGCGCTTCCGCGTTCGTCACTTCTGAGCAGCGCATGCACAAAACTGACCTCATACGTCATCCTCCCGGAACTGCTTCCGTGTACAACTGTTGGCGCAAGCTACATTAAAGTGATTATTACGTTTTGAATATGGATATTTTTCTTACAAAGATGCATCGATTCGCTACAGGAGGCCTTTGTTCACCCCCCGGAGCCGTGTGAGACACTTTGTTTTATGGATGGGCGCTTTTTATTTCACTTCTTTTGGACTGAAGCACCGCAACACCTGCTATGTGTGCAATGATAGAGCTTGGAATAGCCAGGACAATTTTTAATATAACTCCGACTGGATTCGTCTGAAAGAAGAAAGTCATGTACACCTAGGATGACTTGAGGGTGAGTAATTTATGGGCTAATTTTCATTTTTGGGTGAACTAACCCTTTAAGGCTTATAAGATAGAAAAATGTTTCATAATTCATAACTCCTTTTTTTCTACATGTTTATATTTGTTTGCCTTTTTTTTTTTGTTTTTGCTTTTGTTGTTGCTTTATCCAATTTATTTTGCAATGCAGAAGTGTATTTTCTGTGTGACTGCTATAGGTAAATAACTAGAAAAATAATGCAGTTAATGCCAAAACTGTTTACGCTACAAAACGGTGTTTAAGATAAAATATCAAAATTATATGATAGTAAATACCAGTTTGCAATATCAAGCAGCAAATAACTGGAAGCGAATGACACCAGAAGCCTCGCACATTCATGTTACAAATGGCAGCATCCACTCTTATATTAAAAATAAAGTGGATATTTTCTGCTTTATTTTTGTTTCCCTATCACTGTCCTAACCAGACATGACGTGACACACAGGCGATAAAAGGTGTCTTTTATGTTAATCTGAGTTTTTGTCCTAACCAGCCTATATGCAACAAGTGACAGGATTCTGTTTTTGAAATGACTGTGTATATCATTGTGCACATGAGTTTAATTGCACCTTTGTGCTAGACATAAATGATCCTCAAATCATGAGGCATGTGGAGGAGAGGTGTGAGATTACTTTTTTAAATTGTTAGTATTAAAGAGACTCTGGTTGCCACCCAGAACACTCGAGCTCTGGTTTTTACACAGACAAACACTATTTGTATTTTCTTCCAAAAACATAATGCGTTTATCATTATTTTGTTGGCAGGGTGTGGTTAAGAACAAGAGCGATGGAACCCTGACCATCATTACAGAGAAACATGATAACCTCACGGCCTCTGCTACTGACAATTTATCAGATGATGAGCTGAATGTCATGGATGAAGTGGAGCTCACTATTTTGACTGTGAGTAAAATTATTAGTACAACACATTGTATCTTTCTTTGTATTCAAACTTTTGATTGTATTCAAAGCTTCCTAATATACAAATGCTGTGTATTGAAGGTGAACAACACAAAGAAGGCCGTCCGACTCAAAAAGCTGCCCGAGGGCTCTGTGACCTTTAATCAAAAAGCAAAAGGCAATGAAAATATTTCCGACGCAAAGGACAGTACATTTGGCACTACCCCTGGCAAAGACAAGGTACTTTAGGCTATTAAAAGGCATTTTTTATTCTCAGCTGTCCTTTTGGAGATAACTTTAGGAAATTGGTGCGCTCATGGAAATTTTCACTTTCTTCTAAAAGTGCATTTACATCTTTTATCTGCAGTGGAAGCCCGTGACCATGGAGGCTGGTTCTCAAGATTCAGTCTCCTTAGACGTAAGCAGTGAGAAATACGAGGGGACGATTACCAAAATCGCCCCAAAGAAAAGCCCAAGCCAGGAAAATGTGGTAGGCTTTCACCCTCCTGCAACCTGAGCACAAACAGCATCTCATTAAAACCTGAAAAAAATCTTGATAAACGATTAAAGTGCATTTATAACATTTGAATCTTATATAGAATAATGTAAGAGTGTAATGTTGTTTTATGACACTTTGAAAATTATGAAATTGATGAAAATTACCCCATTATTTACTCACCCTATTTCTTCTTTCAGACGAACCAAATTGGAGTTATTAAAAAAAGTCCTTGCTCTTCCAAGCTTTATAATGGCAGTGGGTAGTGGTTGAGATATTAAAGCAAAATAAAGTGCGTCCATCCATCATAAAAAAGTAATTCACACGGCTCCGAATAAAGGCCTTCTGAAGTGAATCAATGCGTTTTTTATAAGAAAAATATCCTTATTTAAAACTTTATAAATGCAATCTCTAGCTTCGACTAACTGTCGGTTGGTTCTCGCGAGACTAGCATATTCTCACCAGAGCTTATGCTACACCTACGTCCTACGTCAGAGGTCCCCAACCACCGGGTCGCAACCCAGTACCGGGCCGTGGAAGAGTTGCTACCGGGTTGCAAGAACGTTCTGGGAAAAATGTGTAGCCTATGGCACTCTGTTATATATTGCGTTTTGTTGATTATTCAAATTATTCTGTATTTTCGTTTTGTTGCATGCGATTTCTATGGAGTAGCAATTTCATGTTCAATTAGTAAATGAATGATTGTTCTGATCTGTCATATATTAGGGGTTAAACGGAGTGCAGTTGATCTGTGATA